TTGCAAAGCTAGCAGGTTTTTTTTTATAATAAAATATAATATTATATTACGCTTCACTGATCGGGCGTGGCTCGTGAAGCCGTAACTGTAGGCTAAATGATTTCAGAATACCAGTAGAGGAGAGGGGATCCCCGCTCCGCACACCTAGTACCCGAAACACACGTTCGCGATAATAATATATTCTGGGGATGAAATAAAAAACAAAAAACGATATTCTACGTGTTCGAACGGACCGAAAAAAAGTTTGCGCGTTCTGTATGTGTTTAGTATGCGAAAAACAGAGGTTTTGTAATTATTATCGTGACCGGTTTCGCATTGCAATAGGTTATCAAAACGTCGAGTGTGTCTATAATAAAATACTTATATTATAATGGTATACATTCATCTCGGAAAGAAATTATTTTAGATTCTGTGTGTAGTAAAGAATATATTGGTTTTACAAAGTTGTTTTTATTTTGTTTTTTTTTTTTTTACTGTGTACTGTTACAAAAATTCACTAGATATCTTGCTCCGAAGTATCAAATATAGAATATTTTTTGAAAGGAATTTTTTCTGAAGTCATAATATAAGCAGGACATTTTTTGATTTTCCCAAGAATTTTTCCAGTAAATGAGAAAAGCTAAAAAAAAAAAAAAAAAAAAAAAACGGAGAAAAAACAAAAAAAATTAGCTACGAAATGTGGGTATTAAAATATAACGGTCATTTTATTTCTATGTAAAAATGGTCTACCAGCAATTTTGCTCCGATTTTCTTGTCCTTTAAAAATGCCATTTTTTGATTTTCTCAGGAGTTTCCCTCTGAATAGTAATAACAGAGAAAAAACGAGAAAATAGATAAAATATTAAACAAATGGTAATAAAGAACATATTACACTATGGCGAAAATACATTTAATTAAACGTAATTATTTTACTATAATATGCCATATAATCATAATGCTGACAAAGCAGCACTATTAACCCAAATCCGCTCAGAATCGTTTTTCATCAGTAATGGCTATTCGTTGCATACACATATAGGTATACATGGTATACAGGTATGCATTAAATTTCATCTCTACCTTCCCAACTAACCTAACTTAACCTAACGTTACATCACCTTACATCAGTGGTCCACTCACGTGCGAAGTTTGTCCGTACTTTTTATTACATCTCATCTAAAAGGAACAATAATTATATAATTTCATTTAGTGCACTACGTAGTCCCATTTTTTCAGGGGACCGGACTAGTGAACAGAAATTAATATTAAATCCGAACCGCCAACAAATTTGGCTTGGCCCTCCATACAAGTTACTATAATAATTTGATAACATAAAATCCCTTCCAAGAGACTGGCCTAGAATTCGTCTGGTTCGCTCTGTGAACGTATGAACTGAAAAACATAGAAAAAGCCATTAATCTTGATATTATTATTTTATTAAAATAAATTTGTTGTTATCAAAATGCTATCATACGATTGTGGTTTAAATTTTACTTCGAGGAATTGGGGGAGGGATAAAATTTCATAAGTTGAATTTGGGCCAATGGTAAAAGGCAAATTTTTCGCCCTCGTTATTTTTACCTCACGGGAGGAACTGGGAAACTTTATCCACCTTACTATTTTTACTTCATTCTGTTCGGTTATTTTATGAAATTCTTTTTTTTTTTGTGGATTTCGTTGATAACTATTTACTCAATATTATGTTTACTGTCGATATAATACTTAAATTAATGAAATATTTTTTTAAAACATTATTGCCCACCTTCTTGATTAGTATAAGTGTAATTGTAGTAATAATATTTTTTGAATAGTTTATTAATTTGGTTATATTAACCATGTATTGCTCTTTAAATTCTGAGTGTAGGGAAAAATCTGAGGTTGTTAATATGATTTGTTATTATTATTATTTATTTATTTGTGTTAGAGCTAATTTTCTACCAGAAATCTTGTTCTAATCAAAAAAAAAAACACAAGACCTTTTTTATTTTATTTTGGACTGTTATGTGATTTGTTTGTTCTAAATAATTTCGAGACTTTTATCGTAACATTCAAACATTATTCGAGTGTTTTGATACAAGCACATCTATTAACCAAGATATTTACAAGGACACCGGTTTTCGATAAATACTATTCTTTTTTTTTATTCACCTTTATTGATTTGAAAGAAGAATATGTTCAAGAGTATCCCGGGGGATACAATGAAAATTCACAAAAAATGTTTTATTTTTTTGAAATTGATGACGAAAAATTATATCATAACAATTTCGTTTAAACATAATAATATGCATTGTTATTTTAAATTAAAATACGATTATAAATGCAGTTTGTTTGAAAAAAATATTTATTAAAATGTGTAACATAAGGATTGTTACCTATTTCAGGTTACCAATAAATTTAACTTTCTTAATAAAATATCATATATGTTTTCTTATTTGTATATTAAACAACAATATTATATTTTTCAAAAATCATCCATATCTCTTTTTTTTTAATAAAAAACATGTAATACTAAGACTTGCAAATAGTATCATTAATTAGTATTGTAATAATCGGTTGAAAAGGAATAACTATTATTTATATCTATTTGGAACTCAATGATTTACGAGTTACTACTGTTATGAGTTTACGACTTAATAAAATCAAAATACATGTACAGTTTTTAAGGCTAGTATATGCGATGGTGAATACTAAACCTTTTGTTCTTTTAAGTTCTGAGTGGTGTTGTATATTGAATTGTAAGTAAATATAAACTATGGTGTTTATTTATTCTATTTTTTTATCCGTAAACAACTTTTTTACCAGAAGTATTGCTTTATTATCAAATGTAGCACTTTTTCTGAACGAAAATTTGACTGGAAAGGTAAATTTTTTGAATACATTTGATAAACCGGAAAAAACGAGAGAACGGGAAAATAGGTACAATATTAAAAAAAATTATTAAAGAAAATATTTAACGCCTATTCAATTATTTTAACATAGTATTGACATAAATTGTTGACAAAGCATCACTATCAACTGAACTCTACACAGAATTGTTTTGTTAGTTAGCAACGTAACCCAATCTATTGTTGCTTACAAATATAAATTAAATTCCTGTCTGTATCCTACTTTTCCAACTTCCAACCTATAACAGTAGCTGCACCCACGTGCTAATAGTGTTTCGGTCTTTTTTTGTCTCCAACTATGCATTTTGATGAAAAAAAAAAAATTGAAATTACCGAATATGTAGATATTCCGCAAAAGATTATTACCATAACTCAAAAACACTACTCACCACTCGTGGGGGCGGTTATTGACGCGTGTCGGGATAATTTTTCGAGTGTTGCCTTGCTCATATATATTTATAATTATAATTTCGTGTCACCTATTTTATGTTAATAATTAATAAAATAATTATAAAAACAAATGCGTTTTCGCACGAACGCACGTTGCAGACGATGATAGTAATAATTAATAAGCACTGCGGTATATTTACGCACCCATATCGCCCTATTATAATAATAATACCCGAGCAGGTACCTCGGGTATTGCGATTTTTAATTTCAATAATGAAATACCTGTCTATGCACATCGAAATTATTACAATGTCCCTCTAATAACGGCCGTGCATAATAATTACGTATAAATACACGTCGCGTTATAATAATAATTATAATAAGTGTTTAGAAATTTCATAAACATAAATTTTGAAATATTTGGATTTTTTTTTATTAATGTTATATAAAAATAATACCTAATCTCCATGTATAAAAGGCAATGTATGTATGTTTGCGATGTAAATGTTACGGTTAAGATTGAAAAATCGATAATGTCAAATTTTCGTTCAGTAGAACTAATCGTTGTTATTATTAATATTAGAGTGATGTGGACTAATTTGAAAGTTAAAGATAAGAAAATTGTATGTTCTTGTACGTTGGTTTTTGCATTTTTAAGCAAGATATGACTTTTTTTAAATTGTAATATTTCGCATATTTGTTTACTCATTTTGAGTAATAGACAAAAGTGGCTAAGCGACATTTTTATTACTTTTCAGGAGTTTAGAAACAAAATGTCCATATGTTTTTAACATTGCCGTTTTAGCTTCAATTTTTATTCATGCTTTAGGAAGGAAGTTATAATATAGTTTCATTCAATTTTATATTAATTGAGGAAACGAATTAGTTTTATTGGATTATTACGATTATTTTTAATCATAATGTATATTAAAACTTATCGTTTTTTGGTACTTAACTTCAATACATAATTTTTTCTTGCTGTGATGAACAGTGCTTACACTTCAAAATCGTTAGTATAATATTATTATTATTAACAATCGGTTATAATAAAAAAAAAAACAAGTCATAACTTTTGTTGCAATGCCTAACGTGAGGAAACAAAAGAATAATAACTGAAAAATTAGTACCTATCTATAATAATAGTAACCAAATATGTTATTTAAACCTTAAAAAAGGCGCTTGGCCCCTACTTTTATAAAGTTTTTGTTTATAAATGTCGTTTGTACCGAAAACTAAAAATAAACATAGGAACACTAACATTTGTATGATCGAGAGTTGTAACTGTCGATTGTCTCATAGTATATACACCATGACGTTTTACCCATTTTGCCTTTAACCAATAAAATGTATAATATAATATTATAAAATCAATATTTACACTTAGTTTTATCGCTGGCTAACATATTGTATATTAATATTATTTTGATTAAAATATTGAACTACACAGAAACGAACAGATAACAAGAGTGGTAAAATAACAACACTAAAAAAAGTGATAAAAAGTGTAAAGGTATCACAAAAAAGTTTTAAAGTTCAAACTAAAAAAAAAATCCCATTATAAATAAAAAAATACACAATTCAAGTTTAATCGTTATCACTAACAGAAGATAAACTGCTCAAGTCGTTGTTGTCTTGATATAAAGATTGTTCACCGCCGGTTTTCCACTCAGATTTTAGCAAGCTGATGTACGACACTTTTGTTAGCAACTGCATTAATCAAGATTTCGTTTTGCACGCTCGAGCTTGTCAAAGTTTTTTTTTGGTCGCCGTTGACGGTCGAAATGGGTTAGACAACGAGAAAGGATTTTTGTATCCATCGGTGGTGGGTGTTGTCTGTTCCTGCAGTATAGTGTTTTCTTCACGTCCGACGCCCGATAAAATATATTCTTCCTAAACAAAAAAAAAAAAAACCTTCACGTGGGTTAAACGGAAAATAAGTACGCGTGTTGTTTTTATTAGGTAGTTGTAACCTTGACAAGTGCGGAAATCCTTCGAATCAACGTCGAATCTGACGAATCCGGTATTTTACGGACCAACATGTTCGGTGCATTTATCACGTCCTCATGCACCTGCCGCATGAGGTTCATTTGCAGTTCTTCGGTATGGTCACTAATCTCGGAAGATTCCCCATGGACCAATAACAATTCCTGTTTGATCGACGTGCCGTCACGATCCGGTAACGATGACGGGGTTTGATCACTATGATCGTTACCATCGGCACCAGCCATTAACGGCACACTGATGGGCTGCACTGCCGTCTTTGGTCTGAAAAGTTTTTTATGATTAGCTAGCAAAGACACGTTTATGATATGGTATAAGTCTAGTAGGCATAGGACTTAACACTTCTGTGATAAATCGTAGAAAAAGTTTAAATTTCACATGACGTTATAACTTGTTAATCCAACAATGAATATAGTTTAATAAAACATATTTATTAATTACAAGATGCGTTTTTAATTTTAAATAATGGGTTAAATTAGTACCAGTGACGCAACCAGGATTTATTTTTGGTGGATATTTTAAATATGTCTAGATAGGCTTTTTGGGATATTAAATTACTAAACACATGAAACACACGGCAGCATACATGCATTCAAAATAACCAGGAAACGTGTAAATTTGTACTACTTAGAAATTAGAATCCATAAAAAAAATATCAAATTTCGTAGAAGTTATATTCTCTGAACATGTATTTCTTATTCCCTCTTTTCTGGTTGCTCCAGATTGTTTGTGTAGATTGATATTCTATAACACGATACATATCATTATCCATATGGATATTTTATTTATAAATATGATGACTTTAATTCAAATTTCACTTATATATTCGAATGAATTTCATAGTTTAAAAAAAAAAAAAAAAATGTGTAACAACTTTTTCATTATATTAAAATTAGTTAAATAAATACGTGCAACTATTAAAGACTAATTAAACTGGTAGGTACACAGGCCCAAATGATTCATTATCGTTTTATCATTATTGTAGTTATTCTGAGAAGACAAAGAGTATAATTTTTTTTCAGATTTCTGTGTGTGATTGACATCATTGGCAGTTAAATTATAGAACATGTAAATATATAGATGTTTGAATGTAAATAATTTGAAAATCGTATGTAAATGTAAATTATTATATTTAAAAGCGTATAAGTTTACTTTAACACAAATATCAGTTTTTCTAGTCGATACTGTATTTAGTATAATATTCAACAATATATATCATGATTAATTCGATTCTAATTTGTCATGGTAATCACTAGATAATATATTAATAATAGCTAGTAATATACTATATAACAAACTAAGTAAACGTAATACATTTTGTATTTCCGGTTTTGGCCCAAGGGAACTGCATACGTTTGGGAGGGTGAATTAACTATGGAGCAAACATTATTGTAATTCATTAGGTTTAGTTCGCAAAATATTTTTTTTGGGACTTCAGTGCTACTTCATAGTGTATATTATGTATACAAAAGTAAAACATCTTTGAAAACCTAAAAGAGCCTTAAACACTTGTACATAAAGTAAGTTTAGAAATGGACTCAATATAATTACTGCATACGGGCCCCGTAATCTATAGTTGCGATACTGATTATTAATGCAGTGTAAAACGAACATAGACTCACCTGGCCATACGATTGGTTCGGTCCACTTCCGAAGCGTTATAAAAGGCTTTCTTTCCACCGTAACTTTGGTACTTGAATCTTTCTAATTTTGATTCAAGTTTACGGTTTTCGTCCGTCACTCGTTTCAGCTCCACTTGCAGTGCCTTAGCCTTTCCGGTTTCTACGTTCAGCTGGTTCCGGTGGTTTTTAGTATGCAGTTCTATAGTTTTTACTAAATTCTGCGTGGACCGATTAACAAAAATTAACTCGTGTGAACCTCTAACCTAATTATTTAACCTAACTTGATATAGCCGTTTCACCTGATTTTTTTTCTCCAATTGTTTTATCGCATTCTCTGCCTCTTCCAGTTGATTGGAAAGCTTTTCCCTTTCGCCAAGCTGTTTATTTTTGGTTAAGTCCAGTAAATGTTTGTGCTGCTTCTGGATGGCTGATAGCTGGGCACCTTGATGCAGGTGATTTTTCTCCAGTTGCCTGTAAGCCTCCTTCGTGCGCCGCAAACGATTCTGCAAGATCCGCAAGTCCTCGCTGTACGACTTGATCACCTGCGGCAGCTGCGCGTGCGTATCCTCATATTTGGACAACGCAGTTTCCTGCCGTTTCTCCATCATTTTGAATATTCGATTCTCGGCCTTCAAGTTCTTAATTCACACAAACACACACATCTACGTTTATGTACATTGCTACTGTATGAAAATAATAATAATATTGTCGTTTAAAATTACTTGTATTTCTTCCTGGGCTTGGGTAAGTTCGTTCTGTAATTCTTTAATGCGTAACATCGCACGGATTTTATTTTTATTTTTTTCTATAATCGTTGTCCATTGACGCAATGGTAAAACACCGACCGAATATTACGAGCCCATGTGTTAAACAATAGCAATATTTGATCATTGTAACTATGTATAATAGGTATCATAATAATATAAACTGCTGGTTTCGTTGCTAAGGACGGACAAAATCAATGCGAAAACGCGTGGGGGAATGTTTGATCGGAGTCGTAAACGATTTAATTAAGAATGGTTCTAAATTATTGTAAGTTAAATGTATGTAAAATATCTGTCCGTGATATCGGCTTTAATTTATATGGGTGACATGATTTTCGGCAAAAAAGAAATTTTCTGTTTTCACCTAAATATGGTAAACTAGTTTGCTCTATTTCACCCAAATTAGTTAGATTATTTTTGCCAGCAGTTTGACATTTAACATTTCCAGTAGTGTTTATCACAATTATTTATATTTAATATTTGCTTATTCATTTATTATTACTTTTTAAGTATTTTTCACTATTTTTTACAAAATATTTTAATAAATTCTAAATGCTAAATACATTACTCGGGTTACTACGACAACTAAACTAATATTATGATAATTGACTGCTTTGAATAAAATATGATATATCAAATACACTTGGCGTCACAAAAATCGCACCTATTGCAAATTATTTTTCAAAGTAATTTTAACTACACTTAATCATATATAAGGGTACTGTTATGATATATCATTTGAAAGGTGATGAAATAAACTTGAAAAATAAATAAATGGTATGTGTTTTTGTTTATCAGTGTTTTAAAAAATAAGTTAATCGTGGAAGAGGAAAACAAATTGTATTGAGGATATACAGTTTTACAAACAGAAACAGACAATAGACTTCATATAAAAATAAAAAACTGTTACTAAATGTTATTTAAAACCTAGTGCTACTTCCTCTTGCCTTAATTACTGCTTCCATACGATCTTTCATAGAAGTTATGAGTCGTACGATGCGTTCTTGAGGAATGTTCACCCATTCCGCAACAACAGCATATTGAAGATCTTGGAGGGTTGTTGGGGCAGGATCATGTGACCGCACTCTTCGTTTTAATTTGTCCCAGAGGTGCTCAATTGGGTTTAGGTCTGGACTTCTCGCTGGCCAGTTCATAACAGGGATCCCAACCTCTTCCGTATAATTTTTTACAATTAATGCGGTGTGGGAACGAGCATTGTCGTGCATTAGTATAAACCCATCTCCAACAAAACCCGCATATGGTACCACATGCTCTTCTAAGATCTCTGTAATGTATCGATCAGAAGTTAGCGATCCTTGTCCTCGAGCGCCACCAGTTTGGGAAACGCACACAAGCTCGGTCTTGCTATCGATGGAAATGCCGCCCCAGAACATGCATGATCCACCTCCATACTCCACTGTCTCCTCGGNAAAAGAGCACAGTCTTCCATTGGTCAAGCGTCCAATTAAAATGTTCACGGGCAAAATGTAACCGTTCTTTGCGGTGCTGTGCAGTCAGTTTCGGACCGGTAGCAGGTCTGCGGGCCACAATTTTTTGTTCTCCTAACCTTCTCCTAACCGTAGAGGTGCTTACTGTTGTACTGCGAGTTGCGCGGAGTTGCTGTTGAAGCTCTATAGCATTGGAAAATCGATTGCGCAAAGACGTCGAGACAATAAAACGATCATCTCTGTCCGTTGTGCAGCGTTGTCGGCCTGATCCATGCCTCCGGATAAAGCCACCAGTCTCTTGATAACGTTGGAAAACTCGTCGAACGGCAAAACGGCTCAAGTTTAGTTGCCGTGCAACATCACATTGACGCATCCCTGATTCCATTAATGCTACCACTTGAGCGGCATCGTTAGCAGTTGTATCCATTTAATACGTTATTTTTTGAAATAATATTGTTTAAAGAGTATTCACGTACGCCCTTTTCAATGTTTAGGAAGTGAATGACCTGCATTTGACACTTTAAACTGATTTTTCTATAGCCAAAGAATATAAGATAAGATAGGAGTATATTTATACATTTTCCTAATGCACCGTATACTCGGAATATGATTATTGTTTATGAAATGAAACTACTATCGGATAAGAGGTCATTAACTGTACTTTCAATTTATATCTTTATTGTTTGGATTAAATGTTTTGGTTCGGGGAAATGCCCGTATGAAACTTAATTTTAAAGATGTGCGATTTTTGTGACGCCAAGTGTATATTACTCCGAACATAAAATGTTACGAATATAACTGTTCCAAAGGTCTATTACTACCTAGGTAATTAATTTATAATTGATAATAATTGCCAACAACTGTTACGATATTTACAACTCTGAAATTATAATTTATATAAATTAATGCTGCGAGATAATATTACTTCGACGTTCACATTAGTGTATCTATGTTGCCTACTCAGTTCCTAAAACAGTATTGTTATTTATCAATTTGCCTGTTTATTACCCATCAAATTTTCAAAATTCGATTGAAAATATTGTTTAAAAATATGTATTTGTTTACCAAAAATTAATTTAATAAAAATACTACCAATGATAAATTCTGAGTTAACATACTCTATGACATAATAAATTATACAATTATATTTCTATTTCATTCATAAAATGTTTTAACTATGATTTTATTATAATTTGATATACATCATATAATTACATACTACATGTAGGTCCTACAACCTATAATAAATTAATGCGATTACTAATCATAAGTTAATTATAATTATAAACCATTTACCGTAAAATTAGGTCTTGACCCAAATATCTAAAGAAATTGTTACTATCTATATACTTGATGGTTATATAGTGCCATGTAGGTATCAATATAATATAATTTTTATTCATATTACATAGGTATTTAAAAATTATAGGTGAGGTAAGAATTATTACAATATGTATTTTTTCAACAATAATATGTGGTTTATAAATTTAAATTAAATGATTTAGGAATTTAATAATTAATAAATTGTAGACTCATACGACGAAATTAACAGGGCAAGGTGATGGATTTTAAAACCTTATAAAAAATAATAATTGAAAACTAGCTAGATAAAATTTAAATTTAAATTTAAATTTTACTAAAATAATCTTGTAGACGTGTTATTTAGGACGGTTTGGTTGAAAAAGTTCCTCTCGAGCCGGGACACCCTTATAGAAGCTTCCCAGATAGCATACCCGTAATTATAATATTATGCTAATGTCAATTTTCATCGAAATAAATGATATTATTAAATACATTTTGATAGTACATCAACTAAATATTCTGTAAAATAATAATGTGAATATATTATTAATATAACATCATAGATGAAATATTTATAGACTATTCCGAATGTATTATTATTATATTATTAATATCGAATTTTTAAATGATAGTATAGACATATTATTACTAGCTGTCCCGCCCGGCTTTTTCCGTGCCAAATTTTATTTATTTTTTATTTTTTACCCATATTTCTTTTTGGTTTTGAACGTGTCAGCAATGAATAAAAACAAATAGGTGGAAAGTGGGTAGTCCACCTTCGGCGAACTAAAAATATTCTTATATGACATTTATTTTATAATTTTAAACATAAAGCTATAGTCTCGATCAGCAGAGTTTCATTACTATATACCAAGCGTACTTTACTTTTGCATTTGCCGTGTTGCGTCCTATGTTAAATCTTTTTTTAGGCATGACTAAAACACAAACAAATTTTAAAGACAGTTTAGAGTTTTGTTGCATAATATAATATGACACATAGATCTTTATAACTATTTTTACTAATATTAATTACCATATATACCATAGAAACGTTTTGAAAAACCTTTTAAATATTTTTTGATTTCATCCGTGTTACTAAGGTAATCCAAATAAATAAATAAATAATAATAATAACTGATAATAATGCCTAAAAACTGAATTTTGGGGGATAGTTTTCAATAGGGGATGGATATCAGTAGTTATAAACCTTCTCCGTGATGAGCTCTTCAATTAAAAAAAAAATCCAGATCTGATAAGTAGTTCCAGAGTTTACCCGTACAAAGATTTTCATTTCACATTTATATAGTTAGATAAACGAATTGTTGAAATGATAGTTTCAATATATTAATAAAATTGTTATACAAAATATTAATAAAATTACGTCATTGATGAAATAATAAAATAAAAATCTGAATATAATATGATCATCATATTATTAAAATCTAAATAATTATTATAAGAATCAAAAATAATTCTATAATTCTATGCGATATTCTATGCTATGCACATGATAATATTACATAATAGTACAAGATATATATTTTCTACGTTGGAACCTAGCAGTTTATTATCGGGTTTGTCCCAATGTATACCCGCAGCTGCATAAACAATCTATATGATAATAGCAATATTAGCGTTTTCCGAGTAGAAACCAAACCGTTACTTACGACCGATTGATTGCACATCTCGGAAATCATCAAATTGGAAAATGTGTTGATATAAACAAATATAATTACGATTAAAAGTACGCCAAGAACACAGCGGGTTGACCGAGATTTACTTATCATCTCCATATATAAAATAAACATATATCGCATAAATCAAATTTAAGGCAATGTTGATCGTTTTTTTTTGATATTAACGGTATCGTGATGACTTAATAGGTTCCAGAGGGTCAGACTGTCAACCAGATTTACTATTTATTAGTTTTGGAAACACTGCGAAAAAGAGTTCGTAAGAAACGGCCAGAGTTATTGAAGAACAACTCGTGAATTTTGCACCAGGACAACGCACCTGCCCATAACGTGCTATCTGTGAAGCAGTATTTAGCCGGTAAGCGCACTCCAGTGCTCGAACACGCGCCGTACTCACAAGATTTGGCACCGTGCGACTTTTTTTTGTTTCCAAAGATAAAATCTTTGAAAGGGACCCGATTTGAATCGATGGAAGCGGTAAAGCAAAAAACGTCAGAGCTCCTAAAGGCCCTCGCCAAAGAAGACTTCCAGCACTGCTTTGATCAATGGAAAAAACGTATGGAAAGGTTTTGGCGAGGGGAGGGGAGTATATTGAAGGGGAGCATTTGAATGTAGAACAATTTTTATAATAAAACACTTTTTCGTAACCAGTCTCGTTTTTTAATAACCACACCTCGTAAATAACAAAAATAAAAAAATTGCATTATATTCATAACAATATGAAAACTAATATCATATATACGCGGAAATACGATAAACACAATTAAGACGACAATGCGTTAGAAAATGTTGTATTAAAATTTATTGTTATATTTTGTATTTGTACGTTGATAAATATAGTCGCTAAGTGTTAGGGTAGGTGTTAAAAATTGATATTTGCAACCACGGTAGAACGACCTGTAATTTATTGAAAATTATTAGATTTATTATGTCATCTAAGAATAGTTTGTGTGTCGTGTTCATAAAATCATAACTCCTAAAACCCGACCAAAAACTTCCCCTGCGTGAGTATGAGTGGTACTATAAAAATTACCAAAATATTGTCCGTAATAGTGACGGCATCATCACATACGTCACAAACCAAATAAAAAGCAATGAAATCTAAGTTCAATCCCCTCTTGAAGTAATTGCTGTCATTATCCATCTTAAATACCCAATATGCAAATCCATAATTTACGTATCTGATAGCACCAACTTACTTCTTGCAGACCTAAACCAAATAATCCAAAAACTTCCTAAATTTTTTCTGGTACTAAGTGACTTTAACACTGACTGAATCTTGGCATAAATATACTAGCTCAATAAACTCAAACGTCTGCTCTAAAAAAAAAATTAAAACAATCAAAGGATTCACACACTTATCTTTACCTCCTATTCTTAATCATATTGACACCCTACCTTCATCACCAACAGACATTATTAACGCTTTTGCACAATCGTTCATAAAAAACAGTCGTAATTCAAATTTCAACCCTCATTTTATTCATCATAAACACAACTTAGAAAATATAAACAACAATGAACTCAAATACATTTTTCACCATTAAGATAACCACCTAAACTCCCTCTTTAATGAAAATTAATTTTATAACACCATATTAAACTGCAAAAGCTAAAGTCCCGGACCGGACGATATACCCTATCGTTCATCCAAAATCTTCCATCAATTGGTAAGACATTATTACATAAAATATATAACGTGATCTGGAATAATGGCTTACTTCCAGATCACTGACGTAATGCATTTATCATTCCTATTCCTAAACCAAATAAAAACGAATTCATTATAGCCAATAACCGACCAATTTCACTCATAAACACAATAGGAAAAACCATGGAAACAATTGTAAACAAACGTCTTATTTGGTTCTTAGAGTCAATCAATTTTATTTCTGAAAAATAATCTGCTTTCCACCGAAACCACTCTACAATAGACATTCTCTTGACACCCAACTACACACCGATATAAGTAACGTAAAGTTCAACAATCAAATTTTCTGTCTGATCGCCCTTGACGTAGAAAAAGCCTATGACATGTCATGGCAAAACAGAATCCTAAAAATAATACAAAGGGCCAATATTAATGGAAAAATGTTTCCCTTCCAAAGAAATGTGTTAAACAACCGCATAATACAGGTTAAATCACTTGATAGAATTTCAAACATCTACTCTACTGAAGACAGTATTCCAAAACGATCAGTCATAAATGTCACAATATTCTTAATATCATAATTGATATTTTCTGCAAAATACCTAGTCCCACAAAACATATTATGTTTGTTGATGACTGTTATATATATTGTAATAGTAAAAACCAAAGAAACTACACTAATGATATTACAATCATTACTACATACTCTCCAAATCTGGTCCAATGAAACTGGTTTTAAATTTTCTCCCTTCAAAAGCCAATGCATTCTTTTTAATTATAATCCTGAAATTAAACAATAACTATAAATCAATAATACATTAAAACTGTGTATAAAATCATTAAAATACTAGGAATAATTTTTTATGATAAACTTAAATGGACACCTTATTTAAAACAACTCAAAATTTACTGCAAAAATAACATGAATATAATTAAAACTCTATCCATACATGGCGAGTCAATCAAAAAATATTACTTACTATATATAAGTCCTTAATCCTATTCTTTATCAAATATGGATCACAAATATATACAGCTAAACCTCCCCTCTTCAATATACTGAATCCAATCTATAACGAAATAATCCGACTTGCTATTGGAGCCTTCAGCCCAGTCGACGGCATTCTAAATTACGCCGGAGAAATACCAATGAAACTACAAAAAGATCAAGATACATTAAATCACAAAAGGAAAAGCACAATACATCACCTAGGGTACAAAACCTTGTTCAACAACCTCATTTCACATCTTGTCAACACAACATAAAAACTCTCCCTCAGAACTAAATATATTTACCAAAATACAACAAACAATGAACATTCATACTTCTATTGTAAACATAATTTCTTTCCATTACTTACCTGTCAGGAAATGAAAACTTAAATTGAACACAGAACTTCTTTTTTTAACAAAAATGAAACAAAGAATATCATAATTTCCTCTCAATTTCAAAACACAATCTAACACACGTTCCCTAACTACATCAAAATATATACAGATGCATCTAACTCAAATCATGGAGTAGGATTTGCAGTTATTAATAATGACACAATCATTTAACAGAAGCTCCCAAAAATAACTACCATTTTCTTTGCTGAAAACTACACCATATGTGAAGGAGTAAAATTTGCTAAAACTCTTGAATCAAACGATAAACTCATAATCAGTCTTCCTAAGTATTTTACTACCACTTAAAAACACTTCTTCAAAACATGAAATTACCCTAAAAACTCAAGCAAATTTAATTTGAACAAAAAAAAAAAACATCTTTTTCATGGGGTTACCATCTCACAAAGATATTGCTGAAAACGAAAAATCAGATGAATATGCCAATTTTGCCACGAAAAATTTGCTCAACCCCACAATAGATATCATACCCATTAGTGATATTAAAAACTCTATCAAAAAAAAAAATCTTTTCATCTTGGAAAAATCACTGGATCTCAATACCTACATCATACAAACTAAAAAAAAAAAAAAAGAACAATCCAAAAATAGCATACCTCATCCAATCTCAACTGACGTCAAGACATTGCAATCGCCCGCATTAGAATCGGATACTCCTTTCTCACACTCTCATACTGAATAAGCAAAGAGTCTCAAACAAAATGTGGTACATGCCATACAGCATTAACCATTAAACACATAGTGGAGGAGTGCACAAAATTCTCTTCAATATACACCGACCTGAGTATGCCATCCAACATAATAGAAATACTAAATGAAAATCAAACTTCAAAAATTATCACTTTCTTAAATATCACCAATATTATTAATAAATTGTAATTTTTAATCTAATATAATTTACATAAAATGTAATATCTAACTTTGTAATATGTATAATCTTAATCTGTATGCTGTATTATGCGGCTAATAACCTTTGTAGTTGAGGCCAATTTTCTCTCAATAAAAAAAAAAAATGATCAGAGTAATATTATATAGTCGCTGTTAATATTCGGAATAGTGGTGCAATCCCGCATTTATTAAGAGAGCACCACGAGAAATAAATAATAAATAAAATGTTACAATAAAAAATAACAAAATACAAAGTTATTTTGTTTCTATTATACATAATAATATTTTTTGGAGAGTAATAGAAGCCGCCTCCTCGCAGTGCTCTCTGACTACTTAATAGGTTTATTAAAATATTTTGAATAAATATTGAAAAATACATAAGAAATAACAATACAGAAATAAGCAAATATCAAACACAATTTAAATAAATAGGTCCCGAAATGTTGAATGTGAAACTACGGTCGAAAATAATGTGTATAAAATATATTTTTTAATATAGTATACTGGTAGGTACATATAGTTACTTTTTGTTGATTTAGTTAACAAAGAAATAGATATTAAAATTATTCCTAAAAGTATTATTTTTATATATTTATTAGTTTATTAGAATTAAAGTTACCAAATTCTATTAAATTCGTATAATATAAAACAGTAATTCTACATTACACTAATATTTTTTTTTTCACAACTAATTACGACTTATAACGAACCTTCCGTGAAATATTCTAGCATTTCTGTTTGGCCAAGCAATTGTATCCACAGAATACATACCGAACAAAAATTACCTAAAAAAAACCCGTAAAATAAAATGTCTATAAATAGCTTAACAATGACCTTAATATTTTGAAAATTTTGCCACAAGTAGGTATTTAAGGCTAATATATAAGTTTTTTTTCCAAACTTCAACCCTTTAAAAATATATTTAACTGGATTAAAACAAAACGTTTTACGTATTTTAATTTTGGAAATTTATCCATTATTCCTACGTTTGTTCTCCTGTTTTTCTCATTTGTTATGACAACAGCTGACAAAACAAAGATTGTCTTTTAGAAAAAAAGCTATATATGAAAATCGAAGCATAATTTCTGGTAGAAAAGTGGTTCAAATATAAAAAATAACAAAAAATGGACGTTACATAGTACATTAAAAAAAGTTAGGTAATAGTAAATACTAAAATATTTCTTTCCAAATATAACTTTCTGATTAAATCGGAAGATACTATTAGTATAATATTTTATTTAACATCGAAACTGTAAAACATAACGGCAAATTTGCTATATCGTAGTAATATAGTAACATGGTAAGACAGTAATTATCCTGGAAAGTATTAACATATTTTGTAATTTTTTATTTTGAATAATTTATAAAAAAAGCAGTTTTAAAATTTTACATTAGCATTATTTTGTCGCACTTATATTTAGGAGTGAAGCAACGATGTACCTAATTTTGATTTTTAAATGACAGCGTATATTAAAAATCCTTGTTTAAATTTATTTCGGTGTTAACATTTTTCATTTATCTCAATAAGTTAAAATCGTATAACATAATTATAAGTGAATAGTTAATGGAGAATAGGTAGAAAATTTAAATACGCCGAATACCCCACTGCCACATAAATGATGTTCTAGTACTTTTATCTTATTCAAACCTAAAGTATAATATCTCGTAAACATAATGATGAAAAGAAAAAATATCAACATCGAAATATATTTAAATTATATAGATTTATTTTTGAAAGTATCAAAAGAAGGTAATGATTTCACCCACAAGAATAATAAAATAAAAATAAAGATAACAATAATGATAATTTTAGAGATAGTTGTTTCTTAAATTGTCTAAAAAAATAAATACAAAAAAAGTTATCACTTATCAACATAATAAGCGTTCATCGAGAATTGGTAACTTATTACAATGTACCTATTACAATTTAAAATTATAAATAAATTTGAATGTTTACCTGTGAAATTTATTTTTTTCCATGGTTTATACAATTTTTGTTTGGCCAGTGCTATTTTTGATACCATTGACCAGTATTTTATTTTCGTTACATTAACAAAATAAATTTATACCAATTATTATTGTATAATATTGATTATGTCCCTCTTCTGCTTCAAAATAATATTATCACTTGCCAAAACCTTAGCCTACACAGAAAATAATTTTTCCTTAAGAATATATATTTATTTTGAAATATTTGCCTCTGGGCTAACTCTGGGAACGAAATTCCCGGACCTATTGTAAACCTATTTATATATATTTATCAAGAGGTACTTGATCAATATTTATAACCAGTAAAAATTGTTTTTAGTTTTGTATTTTTTTGTTTCCATTTACCAAGAAGTTTATTTGCTCATCGTATTTAATAGTAATTTAATTTAATGATGTTGTATAATTGGATTTTTTGCGAATAATTGGCCTGGTAAATAGTACACATTTTTTATCAAAACATAATTTTTAAAAAAACCTTTGTATTTTCTATACACTTCGATGTAAGAACGAAAAAGTTAGAAAGAGAGTGAGAGAGAGAGAGAGAGAAAGCGAGATAAAGGAGAGAGCGATGGGGGGAGAGTAGATGTACAAACAGTGATGGATAGCAAAACGTGGAGGGTAAGAATAAGGGTAATCGGCCCTATATTCGACGGATAAAGGCCAAGGATCAGAAGGTTATAAATATATAATACATAAATAAAGGTTTCTTTACACTATGAATAGAGACCCGTACTATTCTTTAGGTCTGAAACGGAATAGTGTCAACAAAACGGTCGATTTTTCAATTGAAGTGCTCACAATAAACACTTCAATAAATTTATCGGGGTTGTTAAAAAGGACAAAAACTCAGGTCAAAACCACATTTTGTAGGTATAATAATGCTTGGCTCCCATCTATCATACTTGACCCACCTGATGAACAACACGAACGATTGTCGAAATTGGTCGAAAATTCCCTAATGTACACTTCAATCAAACTTCACTTATTCATCAAAACTAATCTCCGTTTAACAAATCTTTGACAATTGCCTTTAATATACATGGGTTGTATACATAAATTATCTCTTATTATTGTATTGTCCTTTCTATTGATAATTTATTTCTGAGTACTAAACATAAGATAAATAGAGTAAGAATGATTATAAAATACATCAAAGTCGTAGTATGTACAATGCACTTACAAGTTGTGATTTTACCAAAATCTATATAATAAAATACTCCATGGATCAGTAAAACATTGACATCAGTTTCAGGTTTCGTAAATGTGATTATTCCTATTCATTAATAAAAACTGAAATTTCTATAGAACCGTAAAATACCTACAATATATGCGTATACTTTTATAAACATGGTAAAATGATCAGAATATATTGATTATTGTTGAGATTTACATACATACGTATAGGGCCTTTACTATAGGGAATTGACATTTTTTAATTATTTTTTTCAAATTCTGTTCAGTGAACTAATGAGAAAACTGTGATTTGTTTGATTCGAGAATCATTATAAGTTGTAAAATGTTACTCCATTAACTGGAGTTATAATTTATAAAGATCAAAGAAGCTTATTTTGATGTTACAAAAATGTTTTTTTTTTTTGTCTGTGCGCAACTTTTTTACCAGAAATCTTGCTTCAATTTTTAAGTGTAGCATCTTTTCTAAAAGATAATCGATATGGTGAAGTGCTTTAAGAAAGTCGTTTTTTTTCGATTTTCTCACGAGTTTTCTCATCAAATATGAAAAACCGAAAAAAAAATGGAGAGAAAAACCGAAAAATTTACAAAATACATTATAAAAACATTACGATTTTTTTTCCATGTGCAATTTTTCTACCAGCAATTTTGATCCAATTCATAATAGAAGTCATTTTTCTATTAAAAAATCTGACTGGGGAGGTACTTTAAAGAGGATAATTTTTGATTTTCTCACTAGTTTTCCCAATAAATGGAAAATCCGAGAAACCCTTAAAGAAAACGGAAAAATCAATACAATATTGAAAAAATATGTTTTAAGTAAATATTTATTGTCTATGTAATTATTTTGCCATAATATGACGTATACATTGTTGATAAAGTAAGTACACTATTAACTGAACTCTGCTCATTATCGGTTTTTCGTTAGCAATGGTTAATCTTTGCTAAAAGATGTACACTAAATTACCTATAACAGTGGCTGCATTTGTTTCTAATGGTCAATATCCATTATCTTAGGACAACCTATATTTAACTTTATAAATGTTACAAGCATACATTTTGATGAATATTGTAGACATGTCGGTATTTCAAAATACGTAAACAAAATTCTGCTTAGAGTCGGCAACAACTATCATCATAATATAAAAATACTGCTTATTTAGAAAAAAATATCAGCATTAAAGATAATAAATTGTAAGAATATTTTATAATTTAATGTTATTTTTCTTATATTTTAGCGGTAGTGCTACCTGCAACATATTATTAATATTATCCTTCAAGAATAGTAACATTAACTACTATTGTTACATTCACAATATAACAATTTTATTAAAATGCCACAACAATGACGGGATAATATTTAAGATATATTATTCGTAAACATCATTATATATACATAACTCTATTGTACAATATAAAGTATTATAATCTCTGGGTTGAAATTTTTTTAATTACAAAATATTTTACGTTTGTTCGAATTAAAAAAAAAAAAAAAAAGCAGTTACTTTATAATTAATCTTGAAATCTTTAATTATTACAATTTTGCATATGAAAAGAGATAAAAAAAACCATAATTGTAAATTTGATTTGTTACCCATGGCGTAATAAAAAACA